TATATATAACTTGTAATGATCAGATCAGGATTTTCACATGTCTTGTGCATCAGTCGTTTTGTTGTGTAGGACACCATCGTGATTAAACTTAACTGTGTCGACCTAGTGGCTTAACAAATGTCCAGAGGATTAGTTCAACACACTTTTGGGTAAGCCTGGGCCAGCTATGGAGGCTGCTGTAGCTGCTGTCTGGTCTGGTCCTCTCTGGCCCCGTTTCCCTACTCTACCCTCTGGCCATCACGAGCATAGGAGCCTGGTTAATGCCAGGCCTTCTACCATGACCTTTCTGTTGGTGCCTCCACTGAAACTGGGAACCAAGCCTTTCTCTGTGGTGTTAGAGGTATTGTTTCTCAGCAAGAGAATACAAATAAGTACTGGGACATTCAAAACCCTCCCTACCAGCTATGCTGAAATATTCCTTTTTTTAAATTATCAACCGTAGTTAGCCTAAAAATTGAACAAAGTATTAGAACATATCCCGTCCATCCAATTTCTCCTGTATAGTCACTGAAAAGTAAGCAAAATATTAGAAGATCTCCCACCTATCCGACTGCTCCCCTGGAGTCACTGATTGTTACCACTCCATCTCCTCCCTCATACTTTTTCTAAGGTCCACCAACTATTCCATTCCTACTTCAAGATGAACTGTTAGCGTTTATATATTTTAGTAAAAATATTCAGCATTTGTCTTTCTGTGCCTTTCTAACTTTAAATATTACAGTTTTCATAGTCTAAATTGAAGCAACAAAAATACAGGTTTCTTTCTTGATGTTAAGAGCTCAATGGCACAGTGCCTGCCTAGCAAGTGCAAGGTCCCAATTGCAATTACAGGAAAATAATTGTAGATTTAGCTATTAAGAACCTACAGAGCATAAGGCTCTGGGCTAGTCTTTGAACTATAGCAATAATAGAAATTAAAAAAAAAAAAAAAACACATTGGTGCCCTTATAGGGCTCACATTCCAGAATGGTACAGTGGAAGGAATAGTAAATATGACAAGTAAGCCATAAATTAAGTGATGATTGGCATTATGGAAAAATAAAAAGGATGGCATGGTGCTCTGGGAAGCTGCCACGGTGGTGGTCAAGGTTCACACCGCTAAGAAGACAACATTTGAGCAATGAACTCAAAGGGGCTAAGTCTCAGCTAAGTGACTCCTAGCACTATGGAGTTCTGAAAAAATGGCTTTAAATCCCTCGCTGCCACAAGGAAGTGCACATAAATTCCAATTCATGGACTAATGCAATATACACTAATTCAATCTACCAAATCTATATAAATTATAGCAAGTGTATTTTTCAAAATGTATCACAAGGTCTATAAAAATTGTGCCTTTCAATTTCTCTGTTTTAGGGTGATGCATATTGCACTTAGCAGAGTACAAACATTTATTAAAATAGATATCAATTCAAAAGATAAATCCAACTTACTCCAAGAAAACTTATATGTGTTTATCCACTTGAGTCTTAATGGACACTGACAAAATGATGGTTTTCAGAAAAACTTGCAAAAAAAGAAAAAAGATTTATCTTCCCCAAACTGTAAAAAAACTATGGCTCTCATATGTGGCTTTATGCTACAAAGCTCTGTGCAGTTTCTCACCAGATTAATATATCCAGGAAGACAAATAGGAAAAGAAACATTTCTCCCAGAACTTCATAAATTCCATGAAATTCTGGACAGAAGTTCTAGACAAGAAATTCCATATAGCAGATACTGATATTGAGTGAGTTAATAACAAATCACATTCCACATCATTTCCAAATATGATGTGCTTTGTACAAAACCACTTTTCTTAAATATTGTTTATAATAACTGTCTTTGCCTCCTCTGCAATCAAATTGCTTAAATCAAACTTCAGGAAATATGATTTCTGGCACTTCTCAAATCTAGAATTTTTTATTTCGATCATCTTTACCTCAAAATTATAATATGTGCATAATGACGCTTCCTATTTTTGTAATGTTTAGTTTTAAGGAAATCTAAGTAACTTACATGTTACAGATTGTTTTTACTTATTCAGACACAGATGCAATGAACATCACTGGAAACCAAGATGAGTTTCAAGAAGAGAATATTTGATTTTAAATAATAAAAACTATCTCTTGACATTCCATAGACTTCATAGTACATGTAACAGTTTTGGTAAGATTATGATTTTTTTCAAACAGATTTAAGCATTAACAGATTAGTAAAATCATCTAATAAGAATAGAATATGCATGGTTATATGGAGAAAATATATTATTTAATCTAAAATATAAAACAAGGTCCTTGTGTTAGATACTGACAAAATGATAAGAAAGTGATTTCTAAGTAGTTGAAAAATTATATTAAGTAGTAAGTGGCTTGTGAATGCGTTTTGAATTTTTAATTCAATTTTCTGAGTCAATATTGATTACCAAAAAATAAAATACTCAAGATAATCAAAATATTTTTAGATTTGAAGCTCGGTTTCCTAGATGAAAAAGTTAAAGGAATGTGCTAAGTCCACACTTAGCTGATTTTAAGAAAAGAAGGTAATAGCATGAGCTGGATTCAACCAGCTGAAAGCTTGTGAAAAGGAGTAAGACTTGGTGGAGAGAAGAAAATGTTTCTGTTGAGCGGTTTCAACTCAAGATGGGAGAGTTGGCATCTCTCATTTTTTTGGATTGTCCTTCCAGCTTCAGACAGGCCTAGTCAGCTTTCACAATCACGTGACATCCTTCTTCATGATAAATGTGATAATTCTCCTACTATTTACAGCAACGCTGTTGGTTCTCCCTCTCTGGCTACTGATACCAATACAAATTGCAAAAATACAGTAATGGAAAACTAAGTCATCATGACTGGAAGTACCACACTGCAGGCTGTGCCAGGCGACTCAAGCCAGGCAAACACATACACGTGCATGTGGACACATACACAAATATAGTCTTAAATGAAAACAGTGGGTTCCCAAACACTCACACTCTTATGTTTAACAGACTACAAATTTTTGACAGATTTTTATCTATCAAAAGCATCGACAATAGGAGATCAGGACTCAGAAGCACGTTCTAAATACTAAAGTAATTTATAGAAGGAGCCATGCCACAATACTTACTACAGCAAAGACATCTTACACGTGTTGATACGGAACCCTTTTCTCCAAAAACCCCAAGATTTTTTTTGCTGGAAGATGATAGACACTATTTGTTCGACCAAAAGAAAAGTGCTCTTACCTTTTGTAACAGTAGTTTAGTATTTCCCTATACAAACAAACTAAGTCAGTACATTTTTCAAACTTCTAAGAATTATTTTTTAAATCAAGTCGTGTCTAGGGAAATTAATGTTAAAGCCATGCCCTTCTTCCATTCCTTACCTGGACTGCATATCTTGCTGTGTCTTGACCTGACTGGGTTCCGGAGGAGGGGCCGTGTGGGTGACTCGCTGCTGAAGCTCCACCAAAGACTGGTAATACTGCTGTTGACGGTGCTGCTGCTGCTTGTAGCGAGACAAACTGAAAAACAGCCCTAGAATGGCTTTTAAGTTTCCATTTCTTATTTCTGTATCAAACAGAAAATATAGAAACAGTATCACACACACTGAATGTGTATTTTTACAAATGAAACTCTACATGCGATCCTTACAAGCGAAAGCTATGAAGTTAGAAATACAACCGGACTCACCCTGTGGCAGTTTCAAACCAATCAGAATTTCTAGAACATGCCAACATTTCCAAGTACCTTGGAGTTCACAAAGAGAGAGTAAAGGGACGGCGGGTAAAGAAAACTAAACTCACTCAGTGGAAATGTTCTTTGTTGGCCCTGAACTGTAATTTTCCTACTTAACTTCTTGGAAATGGATGTCCTTGTTCTCTTGTACTAATTATTTGATGTAGCACTTTGCTTCCTTTGCAAATATACACAGCCGTTACCAATATAGTGGTGGCTATAAATTGGAGAAAACAAGCTGCTTGAATACTGGTTGTCTTGCACTTAGAAATAGTGATGTGTGGGAATGCATTGTAATGCCAATCGTATTTACAAAACTCAACATTCTTTCTGAATCGTCTACTCTCCAACTTATACATACATGTGTACATACATACAAACATACATGCATATTTAAATAGATCTTCCAAATATTCATACTCATCTTTCAAAAAGCAGCCTATAGCATGTCAATTTTAATGTTTCAAAATTTTATCGTTAATTTATGTTCTATATTATTAAATAATGAATATTATTGTGCATGATGTTAAGTAACATAAGAAAAATTTAAATATAAATCATAATTCTAGTAGCTAAGGCACCTGTGTAAGTTTTTATGGTACCAAATAACGGAAGTTCACAAGGTCAGTTACAAGATGATCTTATTTTTTTCTTCAGTTACTATAACTTACACTTACAAATAGAGCAGTAATACAGCTTGAAATAAGGGGATAGAACTTAAGATCATATCATAAATACAATTTACTTTGACAATAAAACCCATCTCCCGCTGAGCTAATGGTTTTATGTGCCCTTCCGAGCATCAGAAGCACCCATTCTGTGGGCTTCTGCTTTCTGCCAGTTCTTTGGCTCACGCAAACTGTGAAGGGGGCTGAGTCATATAAATGCACCTTTGAGGTATTTTTTTGTTTTAGTTCTTGTTTTTTTCCTTTCAGACGTTCCCCATAGCTTCAAAAATATGGAATTGCTGGGCCAGCCTGATAGCTCAGCAGACTAAAGTGCCTGCTTAGGCAGAGCACAGTGGCCAGGGTTCAATCTCCTGCATGCATGCTGTGCCGGCTCTGCCCACTGGGTGCACTGAGATAGTGGTAGAGACTGACTGGGTGTGGTGGTGTGCACCTGTAATCCCAGTGCTTGGGAGGGTGAAAACAGGAGACTCACTATGAGTCCGATCTATGTAGTGAGACCCTGTAGACCCTGTCCTAAACACTGAGAGAGAAGGAGAGGGAGGAAGGGAGGGAGGGAGGGAGGGAGGG